CGTTGCGAGCGCCAGGCACACAGGCTGACAGGCAAGGGGGCTGGCTGCCGCTCCCGTAGGAAGTTGGGCTGTTTCACAACAGTCATGATCCGCAGCCAGCGGCCCCGCTCAGCAGCGACTCCCTGCTCTGCTGGGGAGGGAGAGGGAAATCAGCGCCGAGAGGATGAGCGCAGCCCAGCCTGGGATACGGGGCAGCATCCCGAAGATGATGCGGGTGGATTCGGTGTGTGCGGAGGGAGAGGATTTGCACGGAGGGCACAGCAGCTCTATAAGCCCCTGTAGTGCCAGCCCCGCAGCGTGGGCTTGGGTGAAGGTACAAGAGAGGAGTGATGCTGTTACACAGCCCCCTGCAGCGCTGCTGTGGACGCACCTCCTGGTGAATGCTGCCCCGGGGGGGGCAGAGGCCACTAAAACTGCCAGAACTGGCCACTAAAACTGCCAGAACTGGCCACTAAAACTGCTGGAACTGGCACCAGAGCAACTGAGAAACGCACAAAGGAACCAAAAGGCTTCAGGGAGTGAAAATGTTACTGACTGGGGATAAACTAGAATGGGAGAGTAGCCAATGGCCCCCACTTCAGTTCTGCAGGGAAGTGAAAATGCATTCAAATGTTGTGTAAAAGGGCAGGCGGCCCCCCCAAACCGCTCCTGCTACAGCCCAGCTCCAGCACTCATTACAGCCCGTCCTAATGATGCAATTCATTTAAGACTTGTCCCATGCTTGGACTCACAAAAGCTCTGCAGACAACTGGAGTCCTATCAGCTCAGGGTCATCTGTGTGGCCACAGTCGCACTTTTTGGGTGCCGGGGCTGTTTGAAGTGGTCTCAGCAATCCCAGCTCCTGGGCACTCGCTCCCATTCTCTCTGTTGTGCCAGCACAATGCTGTACGCAGCTGCTTGGCAAACCAGATCCGGGAGATGATCTGGCAGAAAAGCCACCACCTTTTGTTCTCCAGGTGTTAGCCGTCTGCCAGCCCAGCTCACCGCAAGGCTCCAGAGCAGCACCGGGCGCCCCGGCTCGGCTCGGGAGGTGCCAGCCCTTCCTCCCAGATTTGGATCAGCTGATTTGGAAGGAGTTGGGCAGCTGCCGGCACCGCACCCTGCGTCATGCCGGCCCAGGCGAGTGCCCGGCCGCCCAGGTTGCAGCTCCGCGGCATTCCGAGCCCAGCTGCCGTAGGATGGATTTTCCCACTCCTCCTGGCACGGGACCTGGCCTTCTCCCCACACCCCACTTTGCTCCCAGCCATTTCACCTTGCTAAACCAGTGGAGGACTGACTGACAAAAGGCAGCAAAGGGTTTTGTGCTGGGGCAGCACAAAATGACAATCAGAGGGCTGGAGCATCTCCCCTATGAAGTCAGACTGAGAGAGCTGGGGTTGTTCAGCCTGGAGAATAGAAGGCTCCAGGGAGACCTCATAGCAGCCTTCCAATATCTGAAGGGAGCCTACAGGAGAGCCAGAGAGGGACTCTTTGTCAGGAAGTGTAGTGACAGGACAAGGGATAACGGTTTAAATTGGAAGAGGGGAGATTTAGATTAGGTATTAGGAGGAAATTCTTTCCTGTGAGGGTGGTGAGACACTGGAACAGGTTGCCCAGAGAAGTTGTGGCTGCCCCATCCCTGGAGGTGTTCAAGGCCAGGCGGGATGGGGCTTTGAGCAACCTGGTCTAGTGGAGGTGTCCCTGCCCATGGCAGGGGGGTTGGAAGTCAATGATCTTTAAGGGCCCGTCCAACTCTAACCCTTCTATGATTCTATGAAAAGGGTGGCTCGTCACCCCACCGCCGAGAGCTGGACCCGGCAAGGAGCGGGAATAAGGTCCCCCAGTGGGGAGGGGACTCTGGCCACAGCTGAGTCTGAGCAGCCAGTGGCCCAAGCTGACCTCCAACCTGCCAAAATAAAGTTTCCAGCTGGGTCAGTGCTGTGAACTGGCTTGCCACACGGCTGCATGCCCCCACGGCCAGTGCAAGGGAAAGAAATACGTGGCTCAGGCAGGAGGGGACCAGGGGCGACACAGGGATGAGTGGCCGCCCCTCCTCACACCCCAAATCTCCAGCAGCTTGCTCTCGCCCCACGTCACTGCTCAGCTGGGCCCGTGCGCCGTGGGGCAGGGCGGGTTTGGGAAGAAGCAGCCAGGGCAGGGCTGGGCGGAGGTGACTTGCCCTGTGCCGTGCCTTGAACTCCGTCCTCTGCCCCACTGCTCCTTCCCCACGGGTGACGTCCCGAGGTGGGGGTGGACGAGCGACACCCCAGACCTGGTGGGGTCACTGAGAGGCAGGACGGGACACTGGGGCTGCCCAGTTGACTGAGATGAGGCAGGAGATAATGAGGAAGAGGACACCAGGCTAATTGGCCTCTGTGGCTGGCTGTAGCCCAGCAGCTGTGAGCGCCTGTGCCAGCAGCCCCGTTGCCTGTGCCCTGGGATGGGACAGGGCCAGAGAGCCTGTCCTGGGAAGAGGGAAGCAGCAGGAATAACTAGTGGCATTTTTCCTTTCTCACTTCAGTGTGAAAGGTGGAGGAGAAACCACCCCCCTCACCACGGGTACCAGCAGCCTGGACAAGATGCATCTCAGGTGAAAATGGAGCACCACCAGGGTGCCAGGCACCAGTAGCAGGGTACTGCCTGGGGCAAGGGCTGTGGGAAGGGACTTGTCCTGGTGGGGCATCCTTCCCACTGGCTTCAGTCACCCTGGCAGGTAACTCTGGACACGCTCTGCATTGCAGCTGGCCAGACCCCAGCCGTGATCCCTGCCCTTTGGCTACCTACCCACACTTTCCCACGCGGCCAGCGGTCCCCGGGTGCAGGTGACCGGGCACCCACAGCACACAGGGAGCTGCCATGACCATGCAGGAGGCCTTTTTTCTCACGCCCAGTGATTACCTTCCCAAACACAGGCACTTCAGGCTTGCCCTTGAGAAGCCAACACTAATTTCAGCCGCACCCTTTCCTGCCCCCGGGGGCTGTGGGGCGAGGGTATCCTCACAGTACGCCGTGTTCGCCCGGCGAGGGGTGTGGGACAGGAACCAGCCCTCGTAAAAAATCGCCCGGATTGAACCTGCTTGTCCTCCGCCTGCCAAACCAAACAGAGCTGATGTAAAGCAAACAGCAATGACAACAGCCTGGCTGCTGGAGAGGGCTGGGCGAAGCAGCTGGTTTCCAGTTTGCTGGCCTCAGCAGATGGCGGCGGCGGCGGGAAGAGGCGCTGGGAGTTCCCACCCTGCAGGCACCCCGACGTGGCAGCCGAGGCCGGGGCAGCCCTGAGGTTCCCTCCTCTCCCATCTGCCGGCAGCGCTTGTGCAACCCCCGATGCAAAGACAGCTTTTTGGGTTTCAGGAGAGTTCCCTGGGCTGGTGTGACCCACCCACCGGGCCCCAGTGCGGGAGAAAATGCCGGTGGGTGAGTCCCCCCACCAACCCGCTCTCCTCGCCGGGCGTTTCACCCAGGAGGGCCTGGGCTGCTGTGTGTCCTAAGGGAGGAAGCTGATGTCAGTGGGAAAGACACCCGAACGAAGCACACCCAAAGGCCGGCAGCTGGGGAGGAGGCAGGGCGCCAGGAGCAGGGCTCTCTGGAGCAGCCCAGCGCGCAGGGAGGGGTGTTTGGGCTGTCTGGCCTCTGCCGGGCACCGCCACCGCTGGCTGCGGGAGCAAGGCCACAGGCTGGCACCGGGCGAAGTCTGCCGGGTGGTGTTGGACGCTGCCGGCGGGAGGGGAAGGGTAGGCCCGGCCAGCCGTCCAGAGACCGGAGAGAAAACGCTGACACCTCTGCCGTTCCCTTGTCGGTTTCTTTTGTTTCGGGGCCACATTTCTGAGGTTTGCCTGGATGTCCGCCGCCTCACACGCACACCCCGCCGGGCGCCCCGGGGTGACCAAGCACAGCTCTCGACCCCGCAGCACCTGTGCTCTGCGGCGGCTCGGCCCGTGTCCGCAGCGGGGCAGGAGCTCACGGAGACTCCTTGCAGAGCAGGGCCTGCAGCACGGCCCGAAGGCCGGCCGTCTGTCTGTCTGTCTGTCTGTCCCTCCCAGCCCCGGGCTCTTCCTCCGGCCGGGCCCTTACCACCGCCGGGTGCTCCCACCCGGGATCCCCGGGGGGTGCCCCGCCGGCGGGGCCGGACCGGGCGCCGGCGGCCGTGTGGGCAGGACGCCCGAGGAGGCCGGGGCCGCCGCCGGCGCCC